ACCTGAAAAATTGAATAATAAAAACAGTAATAACAAAGAGAGAAAAAAAGTGATACAAAAGTGTTTGATAGATTATTTATTTTTGGGACAAATATGTTGAAAGTTGTAAAGTAAGATTTTAAAAAAGCAAAGCTTAGTAAATAGCTGGGGAGAGCAGTGGGGGCCCCCACCCTTCCCTTCACCCTGGCACCCCCAGCTCTCCCTTACCTTGCCCGGAGTTCGCAGCGCACTCCCCACTGCTGCGCTACACAAACATCCCCCAATCAAAGGGAACAATAGAAAAAAGGAGTCGGAGGTTCTGCCCCTGCAATTTGGAAGCTTCATGAACCGTCATCCGGATCCAAGGCCAAGATGCATGAAAGAGCCCCTGGGGAGGGCAGATTTTTTTTTTTCTTAGCACTCAGTCATCCCTGAAGATTGGGGGGGGGTGCTGTAGTGATCTGGTAGAATAAAGATCTGCTCAAGTCATCCAGGTATCAGATGGGTCCTCCCAGTAGCCAGATCCCAGCCAAGTAGATCCCAGGTGTGGAGGTGATCTGCTGGAGGCAGCCTGTATCAGTGAGATCCCAGCACAGTGGCTGCTGCAGCATCTCCTGCCCACTTGTCTTTTTATCTGCTCTATCCAGCAGCCAACTAACCAGTCTCCACAAATCCGACTACAATTTTCACTGCTTCAGACACACTAAACTTTTGTTGTTTTTTTTCCTCCTCTTCCTTTCTGCCTCCCTCCTCGTTTTTCTAAACTTCCCTTAATCCGAGGTTTATGGGCAGAGGCATTAAGAAAATTCGCCTGCAATTTGGGATTAGACAAATACTCTTATTACAAAAAGGGTTTGTGCCACTGGATAGCTTGTGAGCTGAGCAGATCAGAGCAGTGCCAGGCCAGCACAGTGTCACCAGCAGCCCCAATATTGGGGGACCAGTCCTAGATAGGGCTCTCCATTCTGTGAAGGCAGATCATCTATACAGATATTACAAATCACGACTAGGAATTCCCATCCATCTCTAGACACGATCAGATGAGCAACTCCAGAGACCAGGGAGAAGATAGCAACAACCTCTAGCATAGAAAGTTCGCAGTCCTTTTTTTTCTTTTTTTCTTTTTAGAGAGAGTTAATTATTTTTGTGAATGAGCCGCTGAGTCTTTGTTCACAGAGAAAGTGGATTGTACAGATGAGAACCTGAACCCCCCCCCCCCCCCCACCTTTCCTAACACCCCCCTGTACACTTATCGCCCCCAAAAATAAGTTCGATTTTATTTGCTTGCTTTGAACATCTGTCTCCTACTTTTTTTTATAAAGAAAACACTTTTGGTGATTGTCATAAATAACCCCGAAAAGTCCCAAAAATCTGCCAATACTGTCTTCTCTGTTCGTACGATGGGTGACAGCCGACAGAAGAACGACTTTAATTTTCGTTTCCCCTAAAGGAGAGATTACTGAAGAAATTCTGAATGAGCCTTTGTCCAGGAAAAGTATTTGACACTGATTTTATAATCATGATTAATAAATCTCTGAAAGCCCCCTTTAATATATATATATATATATATATATATATATGTGTGTGTGTATATATATATATATATGTGTGTGTGTGTGTGTGTATATATATATATATATGTGTGTGTGTGTGTGTATATATATATATATATATATATATTTATATGTGTGTGTGTCAGAGGATAAGTCCCATCTTTTAAGTGATCTAATAATAATTGTAGGATTCATACCTAAGAACACACAACAATTCTTTCTGGTTATCTGGATACCTTGTGAGCTGATCAGATTGGTTTTAGTTTTATGATTTATTTTATAATCAAAATTAGTTTTATCCTTGATTTTATAATCATCACTGGATTTATAATTGATCTTAAAGCCATGATTGGTTATATCGTTTATTGTATAGTCATGATTATTCCTATAAGACCCCTTTTAATATAAAAAAAAAAAATTTTTAGGTTAGAGGATAATTCCCAACTTTTAAGTAATCTATTATTATTAATACCTAAGAATACGCAGTTTAATCCTTTCTGGTTATTTGGATATCTTGTCAGCTGACCAGATTGGTTTTATCATTGATTTTATAGTCATGATTGCTTCTATCATTGATTTTATAGTCATGATTGCTTTTATCATTGATTTTATAGTCATGATTATTCCTAAAAGACCCCTTTTAATATATAAACAAATGTGTTTTAGGTCAGAGGATAAGTCCCATCCTTTAAGAGATCTAATATTAATAGTAGTATTCACATCTAATAATAAGAATACACAACAATTATCCTTTCCTAGTTATTTGATTAGTTTATTACATAAAACATACAGCAAACTGATTACATCCTTCTTCTTTTATAATAGAATTCAATGTACCTTCTCCATAGAATACGTTATAAACAGAGATCGACAGACGATAACGAATTATTTTTGTAGTAAGACTGTAGTGAAATGCTGTCCAATATTTCCTTTCTACGTTTGTTATGACCGATGACTATATTATCATTTTATTTTATTTGTTATGAATTGCTGGTCGGCGATCGGAGTAAATAAAACACAAGCTTGGGGATGTCGTGAACTTTAATTGGCAGAATACTGAAATGGATTCGATGGTAATGATAGGCCAGTATTAAGTTTTCTGCAGTCCTATAAATCAGATCTAATAATAGAGGTGATGTGTGTTTCACTTTGTTGTCTTTGAATATATATTAGAGATCAGTCCTGAGTGGGGGATGTTGTCCCTCACTGTGACTTGTATCAGTCCCTGTGTGTTCTGTCTCTGGGCTGACACTACTCTATACAGTCAATCCAGTTCCCCTCTCCTGTGTCTCCCTCGTATTCCGTACACAGCCAGCTCAGTATAGATCCGGGAGGCGTGTACAGGCCAAGTCCTAGCTCGCCGCGCCATTGGCTCGCAGGCCTGTCAGTCTCGGGGGACGCCGGCGCTGATTGGTGAAGGCGCACGGCTACGCGGCCGCCCCTTGCTCACTTACAAGGGGTAGGGCAAGAGGAGGGTGATCAATCTTCATCAGTCCACACATTTCCAATCACCTAAAGCGCCCGGCGTACGAACAACTACTCTTCCGACAAGGTAAATCACTTGATTTATACCCTCTGCCTGGCCTGACAGCCGGCTAGTCCCTGTAGGAGCGAAGTTGTGATTGGGATGGGGAGGGGGAGCAGAGGCTGAACACTGGGATCTTCTACAGACCTGCGATCGCCCCAGACAAGAGCCATCTGGGGGTGAAGGTGGCCTCGATAGGGGTGGAAGTGGCCCCGATGGGTGAGAGTAGAGCCCACTTTGCTGCCTCCATGCCATCATGGCACTGCATAAACTTCCATGGAGAGGAATCGTCTCACCTGAACTGATCTCCTGTTTGTTTTGAGTCTTCCTCTTCCCCCCCCCCCCTCCTCCTCCTCGGGATTATACAACAGGGCAGGTCCACTTGCCAAAAAACTTTCTAAACAGAAGGATCGCCATGTTCCAGGCTGGATGAGGTGCTGGACTGCAGTATACATGGTGATCGGGGGGTGTGTGGGGTTATTGTATCTGTGTGTGTCCACAGCACATCCACCTGGCTGGAGTAAGTTATGTAAATGGAATGCTTGTGTGCGATCTCCATTCATTAATGCTGGCTGGAGGGGGCATTAGCCTATCAATGGGGGCCATCTGCAAAATGTTTACGTGGAAAATAAATTCCAGGTGCTCGGATCTCCCGAATTGGTCCATATGTAAAGTGGGGTGATTGTGGCCGGCCGGGATCGGGGGGGGGGGGGGTTAAATCCAGAGATTTGTAGATTTGGGGGAATAAAAAAAACAAAAACAAACGTGTATTCTGTAGGAGGACCCAGGCCGGGCAGCTGTCAGTCCAGGAGGTGCTGAAAGTCGGTGCCTGATCATTATTAATAAATATCTGGGGTAGTTTTATTATTAATAAATATCTGGGGTGGGGGTTGTTCTTTTTTTTTTTTTTTTTTAAATATCTGGGGTGGGGGTTGTTTTGTTTTTAAATTATAAATATTTAGGGGTGAGGGTTTTTATTTTAAATAATAAATATCTGGGGTGGAAGTAGTTTTATTATTAATAAATATCTGGAGTGGGGGTAGTTTTATTAATAATAAATATCTGGGTGGGGGTAGTTTTTATTATTAAGAAATATCTGGAGGGGGGGCAGTGTTTATTATTAGTAAATATCTGGAGTGGGGGTAGTTTTTATTATTAAGAAATATCTAGAGTGGGGGCAGTGTTTATTTATTAGTAAATATCTGGCATGGGGGTAGTTTTTATTATTAGTAAATATCTGGGGCAGGGATATTTTTTTTATTAAATATTTTGGGTGAGGGTATTTTTTTATTTTAGATTTCGAGTGGTTTTTTTCTATTAAATATTTGGAGTGGGGGTAGTTTTTTAAATTAAATATTAGGCGTGGAGGTAGTTTTTTTTTTATTAAATATTAGGCGTGGGGGTAGTTCTTATTTTCAAAAGACCAAATTACATTATTTTTGTTTATTTTTGCTGTTGGTTAAAAATAGTTTTTCTTTTTCAACGAGAAAACAAAGTCTAATTTCTTGTAGAAAGTACACATTGTGATCTTTTGAATCTTAAAAAAATAAAAAAAGATGTAACTTTCATACTTTAGACTGCCCATGAAAAGTATATTCTGGACTTGCTGGTCTTTCCTGAAAGTGAAATTGCTGGGGGCTCCAAGTGAGAGGGCAGTTCTCCCCTGGTTGGTGCTGGAGCACTGGCGGGGCTCAGGAGGTCGGTGCTGTAGCACTGGCTGGGTTCAGGGGGATCAGTGCTGCAGAAGTTCAGGGGTGTCGGTGCTTTTATTTTCTTCCTGTTGCAATTAATTAGGATTTGTTTTTGTTCCAGGGTTTAGAGAGATCTACTTGGAGGACAAAAAGGAAAGAAAAAGAGGAAAAGAAAGTTTTATCGGTGTGTTTCAATACAAGGACAACAAACTGAGTGTGTGGATTAATCGGGACTCCCGTCCAGCTGTTAGCATGATGTCATACCTCAAACAACCCCCCTATAGCATGAATGGATTGGGGCTCACGGGACCCGCCATGGATCTGCTGCACCCATCTGTGGGGTACCCAGGTAAGCCCCCCTGTACAGGGTTCTCCAGGCCCCAGTCCTGCTCTGTGTTAATTCTAATGATTGGAATATTAGGCTGACCATACATTATACAATTTTCTTCTTTATTTCCTTTATATTTACCTTCAACTATGTAGTACAAGGGCCTGCCTGACTGCATACAAAGTGTTTACGTTTGACCTCATATTATATGTTTTTGGTAAATCTAAAGAAAATGTATACAAACAGATTGTATAATGTATGGCCAGCCCTATCATAGATTTATTCCTCTGACATTTTTTCAACAACTTTTGCTTTGTTATAGGATATTTCTTTTCATAGCCTGGATCTTACTATAAATGAGTAATCCACTTTTATTATTTGAATTTCTCCTATTACTTTTATTAGTAGATATTTCTCTCTTTGCTGACGTTTAAAGGTCACATTTTTTTTAAATGTGAATCATTTTGTTTCTGCGATCCTTCAGAATAATCCCTGTACGGTATAATAATTGGTCTGATTATCAGAATGACTTTCCAGTCTGTAAAAGTCAGATATGCAGCTTACAGAAATCGTTTAATAGAAACACTGAAGCATTGCAGATCCTAGAAATAGTTTATTGGGGGAAAGAAAGAGATTGCAGAGTGAATGAGTTCTCAGATGTCCTATACATGTATGTTGGCTGTGACATGAAGCAGACCCAATAATTGTACATGTGATGATGTATGTCGGGTAGTCGAGGGTGAGTTCATTGCGAAATATTGAGAATCTAATATCCCATAAAATAGCCCCCAGTCTATAGTTGGGTCCTATGGAGGACTAGTGTATGAAGTCCTGTATTCACTTCCATCCCATCGCAGGTAAGCTCACCTGAGGAAATCTACTACCAGGAGGAAGGGCCTACATCCCTCCATACAGCCCGATCTCTGGATTCGGCCATCTTTAGACTTTTCAAAGTTTTATCATAAGTTGTGGAGGGTCAGCGAACGCATAAAAGCGCCGCGTTTAATTCTCTCCACTTTATTATGTACTTCTAGAGCATGAAACCGACAACTCTGAATTATTATAGAGCTCTGGATTTGTGGGCGATTAATTGCAGGGACTCCCAGAGTGGTCAGCCAGGTAGCGCCATGTGTAGCATATTCATTAACAGGAGCTTGGCATTTGTCGCAGGGCGGCTGACTTCTATATAGAGGTGGCCGACTAGTTCTGATCCAAATCCATCCCGAGGGCGGACTTCTCCCCGGATTCATAGAAGACCTAAGATCTAATATTTCCCACCATATCTCTCGTCTCTGCTTCATTTTCAGAATTCAATATTCAGACCACAGGAAAACTTTCACTTCTTGTGAAAAAATTAAAAATACAGCAACGTGTTCGATTTCTTACAGCCGATTAAAATCTTCTTATGAGTCCATAACCTGGGATTGTGTCGATTTTAATCGCTGAAGATTCTTGTCATTATTTGACATTTATACATCATGTGCCCATGGAAATGTCTAAATCGCTGTATAATAATATATTGATCCCAGGCACAATCTGGGGCGTTATAGGGTATATGTTATGTATTTGGATATTTATTGTCCGACTCTTTAGTGGAAGGAAAAAAAAAAAAAAAAAAAAAAAAAATATATATATATATATATATATATATGTGTGTGTGTGCATATGTAGTTACAGCTTGATTTGAGTGTGTGTGTATGTATATATATATGTGTGTGTGTGTGTGTGTTGTGTGTGTATGTATATATATATATTTATATGTGTGTGTATGTATGTATATGTATGTATATATATATATATATATATATATACACATTTATATAGGGTATATTTTTTAGGCATTTAGCAGCTTCATGTTTGACTGCTTGTCAAAAAATATATATATTTGGGTATATTTCATGTATTTAAAAGTTTCTTGTTTGACTCCTTAAGAAAAAAATATATATGTATATTTTATGTATTTAATAGTTTCATGTCTGTCTTGGTTAAGAAAAAAATAATTATTTTGGGTATATTTCATGTATTTAAAAGTTTCTTGTTGACTCCTTATTTAAGAAAAAAAAAAAAAAAAATATATATATATATATATATTTGGGTATATTTTATGTATTGAGCAGTTTCATGTTTGACTTCTTGTTTAAGAAAAAAAATATTTTAGGTATATTTCATGTATTTAAAAGTTTCTTGTTGACTTCTTACTTAAGAAAAAAAATGTAGGGTATATTTCATGTATTTAAAAGTTTCTTGTCTGACTTCTGATTTAAGAAAAAAAAAATTTTTGAGTATATTTTATGTATTTAAAAGTTTCTTGTCTGACTTCTTAATTAAGAAAATGATATTCTGCCAGATATATACTGTTTATGTTGTGTAAGAGCAAGTTTGGTCTTCCCTGTGTATAGTACACATCTGTATTCTGTATATTTCCTTCGGTTGTAAAACCATTACTGTTATTAAATATCTACATAATGTGAAGTGATGACAAATAAATGAGAGGAAGCCAACAGTTTTTAGACTCTGCAAAATCCTTAATTAAAAATCTAAAGTACATTGAATGGTGTTTATATATTAAAAAAAAATAAAATGTACTTGCAAAAAATAATATATATAATTATAGTAATTTAGTATACATATACATTATTTAGTATGCTATTCTATTTAGCATGTACATTTTAGTTTCTGTATTAATTCTAGATCAGGGTTTCCCAACTCTATCATTATCTGAATCTTCTCGCAAAATGATTTTTGATCCAGTACCCCTTGGTGTGGTTTTATTATTTATTACCAGCACACCTACTTGTTTTTAACTCGTTATGAATTTTTTAGGTGAAAATACATACATCTGGAAATGATACCAGGTATTTTATATATGATTTATCATTAGTTAAACTTCTGATAAATATAAGGTGTATAGCCCCCCTCCCCCCAGGTGCGGGTTGGCTGGTTGGGAAGCCCAGCTGTAGACGGTCAGGTAGGAGCCTGCTGTAGATCCAATGTGTGTGTAGTGACTGATGGCTGTGCACTGTGTCCCCCCCCCCAGCCACCCCTCGGAAGCAGCGCCGGGAGCGCACCACCTTCACGCGCTCCCAGCTGGACGTCCTGGAGGCGCTGTTCGCCAAGACGCGATACCCGGACATCTTCATGCGGGAGGAGGTGGCCCTGAAGATCAACCTGCCGGAGTCCCGCGTTCAGGTGCGTTCAGCCTGCCCGGGAGTGTCTTCAGTTCTTCCTCTGATTGCTCCCTATCATTTCTCCTCTCATTTCATCACTAAGGCCTCTTCTACAACGTTTTTTTTTAATGTGCTATAAATCGGTCATCTCCACTGCAAGAGAGAACTTATTAGGAGCCCCTTTGGGCTCCAAGTGAATTTATGAGACGCTGTCTACTATGGAAGAACAGGGATGGGCACCCTACACCATAGACGAGGACTGTGGTCTGTCCAATCTGCTGACATGTGGAGGCCATTAGGTTCAAGGCGCCCAGAGCCATCCTTCACTGCTCATGTCTGCTGGAGGTGTCACTTGGTTTCTGTAGGTGTGGCCAAGACTGGCTCCAGAAAGTCTGTGGGACAGTGAAGGAGGGTGTGTAGACTTGGGGCCTCTTTATCAGGGTGTCCTAAAGCATGGCTTGGCATCACACAAGTGCCAACAAGTAGATGGTAGGCTGGCAGATCACATGGGCTCTACATGCAAGAACTAAGTTGATAGGAAATCTAGATCGGCATGAATGTGGCGCCCCCTGCAGGAAATGAAGTGTGGCTGAGACCATCATGCAGCATAAGTCATGGGGCTGGTTTAACTGGCCAGGCTTGAGGTTGAGGTTTGAGATTGATCTCCGGGAACCTCATGGAGATAGAAGTCCCAATCTACAAAGTTTTGTTGTTGTTGTTTGTAATAACTTTATGTAAACGTCCGAACCGTCTATATCTGGATAAAATATTTTGTAGCTTTCTGATGCAATGGTTGATCAGGTTGCACATGTATATATGACACTTCTTTAATAGACCTCAAAACCTGTCATCAAAGTGTAAATTATTCAGTTCCCAGTCCACCCCGGGAGGGTGTTAGATGCTCCATTCATCAGTGCCCATCTGCCTGGCTCTCCATGTTTTCTCTCTAAAGTTTGTCTTTCCAAGAACGTTTTTTTTTTTTCTTAGAGAGTTCATACAAATCGGATCAAACGACTTATTCATTGGGGTGTGGGGGCTTGGAGTTTGGATTTCACTTATTTAGTAATTATTGAGTTTACTAAATATTTGCAGAATTCTAATGGTAAAGCTGTGTATCTCGATGTATGATCTATAATTGGATTTCCTAACCTGGAGGGAATGGTTGTCTGCAAACTGGAGGATCTCCTAAACAGAGACACAGGACAGTTTTTGTTGTCTGTGCCCATCCAGCTTTCAGATCCCTGGGGGTCCCATAGAGAGTGTGGCCAGCCCTACCTGATCTGGGGAGGGTTGGGGGTCACAGCTCCCACTTTTCACAATCTGTCCCTGTACTTTTGACTGCTAAGGAATGATATTGGTGGATCATCTGTAAACGAATATTGTTTCCGAGAGTTTGGTATACACTGGCTTTCACTACACCTGATCAATGTACCTTACAGATAACCATGGCAATGTTATGAGAACTTCTTACATTTTATGGCCATTTTGCTAAGCTTGATATTCAACGCAGGGATGGGACTTTTTTGTAATGTCCTAGGGCTAGTTCACACTAGATGCTGCCCAGTGCATTTTTTTTCCTGCATACGAAATAAATGCGCAGTGTTTTTCCATGTATTCCAATGGCCCTAGTTCACACTAGTGCAGTCAGTTCCAGTCTGTTTCTGGTGCAGAAAAATAAAGTAGAACATGCTGCATTTTTTCGTCACAGAACTGTACTGGAACATAGCAAACTGCATCAAAACTGAACCGGAAAAGAGTGTGGTGTGAACTGTAAGCAAAAACTTATCCATCATGCATCTGGAGTGCGTTTTTGTAGTGTGAACTGGCCCTTACCGTGATGGAAATTTCATGATCAATTTAATTTAATTTTCACTTGTTTTATTTATGTATTTAAAATTATAATACACACTAGACGTTGTATGTGCCATAATTTACTTGGTGCAGAGAAGTGCTGTGCAGGGTGACCAGAGTCTGATAAGACCATCATCAGCCCAGGTCTGCGACACTTCTTTCTATTAGCCCCCCCCCCCCAATTCCTTTATAGAATTTGATTACTGCAGGAGAGCAGACATGGTATGGTGCATGGCATGGTGCATAGCATATGAATGGTACATGGCATAGTGCATAGCATGGTGCATAGTGCATAGATTGATACATGGCATGGTATGGTACATGGCATGATGCATGGAATGGTACATGGCATAGTGCATAGCATGGTGCATAGATTGATACATGGCATGATGCATGGAATGGTACATGGCATAGTGCATAGCATGGTGCATAGATTGATACATGGCATGATGATGCATGGTACATGGTGCATGGTGCATGGTACATGGCATAGTGGAATGGTACATGGCATGGTGCATAGATTGATACATGGCATGGCATGATGCATGGAATGGTGCATGGAATGGTACATGGCATGGTGCATGGAATGGTACATGGCATGGTGCATGGAATGGTACATATGGCATGGTGCGGTCACTATAAATGTGAATCGTGCGATAATGCTCCTCTGTGTGTGAGGACTCCTGAATCATAGATCTATTATTGGTTACTCAAGGGTTAGAACTGATTTTGATTAAAGTATTTGTAATGAACGAAGACTTCTTATATCCGTGTAATTCCTATAATAGATCCTTACTCCACTTTTACAATTCTTGCTCCTCTGGCTAATGACAGTAATATAGGATGCTGGTTCAAGTGTAGGCTTTATCTTTATAGAGGATATGGATTACAGTTATAATTACATTCCTAGTTCATTTTGATTATTTCCTTTAAACTTTCACGATGGATCAGTGCAGGTACTGTCAGTGAGCAGTGATCCTCCTATGCTGGGTGATCACTGTTCTAGTACCTGCACTATGGGGGTCAGCTACTTCTTATTCTTTGGGTAATAAATCTCCCTGGAAGCTGATATGGAGTGATGACTGCATTTCATGATTCCTCTGTTCCAGTATTAGATTTATCAGGTTTATAATAATAATAATAATGTGTCTTGGGACAATTATTATCCCTTTGTTTATAGTGCTCCTTGTATAAGTTGTTCTTCATGTGATCACTATTTTACTAGTGCCTCCAGTTCTGTGACCCCAGACAAACTTTATAAAGAGGAATAGTACATAGTGACACAATGAATCTCCCCACTAGTGTAATATTCCTGTGTGATAAAACATGCCTAATATTCCTCTGTATAATAATCCCTCCTGCAGTAACATTTATTTATTTAGATCCTAGTAAGAAGTTGTGTTCTTTATTACTTAGGAATAGACTTGTACACACTAGCAGTGATGTTTAATGCTCACTTCTACTGTGGGGGGGTTATTTACTAAAACCGGAGAGTGCAAAGTCTGGTGCAGCTCTGCATAGAAACCAATCAGCTTCCAGTTTTTATTGCCAAAGTTTAAATATACAAAACTGAAGTTAGAATCTGACTGGCTACCATGCACAGCTGCACCAGATTCTGAGTGCACCAGTTTTAGTAAATCTCCCCCTCTGTGTGTTATAATCCTCGTAGTAACCTTCTGTTATGATGTCTTTATGTTTCCTGTAAGGAACTTTAGCCATCAAAGTCCAGGAATCTTTAGAACATAATAATAATAAATCTGTACTTTGAGTAATGTTTGTGTTATAATCGAATTCCTCTGTTTTATAATATTCCTTGTAGTAATAATCATCTGTTTTGTGATGTTCTTATGTTTCTTGTAAGTTAGTGTTAGCCCCCCAGCTTCCAGTAATATATCTATAACCTAGGAATGGCAAGTGTACACACTGACAGTGAGGATTAAAGCTCCCATTTGAGTTCTGTTCCTGTGGGTTTTAATACTCCTATTATTTCTCTGTATTGTAATGTTCCTTATAGTTGCAGTTTGTAATGTGGTGTTCTGTTTCTTAGTCCCCCAACTCCCAGTCATGTTTATACCCTAGGAACAGACCCTGTACCCTCTGGCAGTGACAGTGAGGATTAATGTCCCCATCTGAGTAATATTCCTGGGTGTTCTCAGTTTATTATTTCCCTTTTATAATAATCCTTGTAGACACTTTGCTTTGTGGTAGTATGTTACTTGTAAGGAGCATTAGTCCCTCAACTTCCATGAATCTGTATAATATGGAAATAATTCCATACACACTGACAGTGAGGATTAATGTTCCCATTATGAAAATATTCTTATTACAATCTTCTTATTCCTCTGTTTTGTCATTCCTTGTAGTCACAGTCTTCTTTGTGGTCTTATGTTTATCCTAAGGATCGCTAGTCCCCCAACTTCCAGGATTCTTTATAACCTGGGCATAGATCTGCACTCTGACAGTGAGGATTAATGTTCCTTTTCTGAGTGTTAATGCTGTGGGTTATAATACTCCTATTATTCCTCTGTATTGATGTTCTCTTCTAGTATTTACAGTAGTCTCGTACATTAATAATAGTCCCATTAATGATGATCTCGTTCCTCTGTGTACCGCAGGTCTGGTTTAAGAACCGCCGCGCTAAGTGCCGGCAGCAACAGCAACAGCAGAGCAGCACCGCGGGGGCCAAGAGCCGGCCGGCCAAGAAGAAGTGCAGCCCCGCCCGGGAGAGCTCTGGATCGGAGAGCAGCGGTCAGTTCACCCCACCCGCAGTGTCCAGCTCCGGCTCTTCATCCTCCTCCTCCTCCTCCAGTTCCAACTCCTCCGGGAACCCCAGCCTAGGAGCAGCGTTGAATGGAAGTACTCCTATAGCCTCTTCCATCTGGAGCCCCGCCTCTATCTCCCCAGGCACTGGCCCCGCCCCTGGCTCCGCGTCCGACCCACTAGGACCCGGAAGCGCCTCTTGCATGCAGCGCTCCGGCTCTTCTTCTGCGGCTTCCTATCCCATGTCCTACAGTCAAGCTGCCGGGTATACCCAGGGCTACCCGGCCCCATCTTCCTCCTACTTTGGGGGAGTGGATTGTAGTTCTTACCTGGCACCGATGCACTCTCACCATCACCCCCATCAGCTCAGCCCTATGGCCCCTTCCTCCATGTCCAGCCACCACCATCATCATCACCATCACCTGAGCCAGACCTCCAGCCACCACCATCACCACCACCATCACCAGGGCTATGCCAGCACAGGACTACCATTCAACTCCTCTGACTGCCTGGACTACAAGGACCAGACAGCCGCCTCCTCCTGGAAACTTAACTTTAACTCCACCGACTGTCTGGACTACAAAGATCAGGCATCCTGGAGGTTCCAGGTCTTGTGAGATGAGGGCCAAGAAACACCAGTCATGGAAACCCTACAGCTTGTACATGAGAAGGAGCGCTTCTCTGGAGGTGTCGACAAAGGACTGGAGGCAATGGTTGGAGTCTGCTGGAGGGACAGACCCCTCAGTGTCAGTTAACTTGTGCCTGGACACTCTCAAAGTGATATATTTATTCGCTGTCTGAACCTGGGATGTGGACTGTGGTTTCTACAGACAGTGTTTGGAATACGTCCTCCCATGGACCTCTTCTGCATTTTCCTTTGAACCCAAAGCTCCACCATCATACATAAGTGTATATAGATGGAAGGGACCCCAACCAACCCATCTGCATCAGAACCTGTACACAGTGCTTTGTCTCCCAAGGTTCCTTCTATGGGACTTGTATCCTCTTGCTGCATGTGGCAGCTGGAATGTGTAAATATTCGGTCCGTTTCTAGGACCCACTTTATTTTTAGTTAATTATATTGTTTCCAATTAATATCACCTAACCCACGCCCCTCCCCTTTTTTTCTGGAGAAACCAAATTTATGATATGAGAGTTTTGGGGGTTTGCAGAACAAGTCACTGCACCCTTCCCACCACAAAGATCTATTACAAAGAAAATTACACTAAAGACTTTCCGCAAAATGGATGAATATGTCGCACTGACACCCCCCCCCCCCCTCCACAAACAAGGCATCTTCCCTGCTGCAGAGGATGCTGGTACCCACACTGACATGGAGGCAGCCACACCTGAGACGTTCACTAAGAAGTAGTGCGGAAAGGATGGGAACCCTCCTTTACTTTGTAGTGAACTGGCAGGCTGTTCCCAGCCCCGCCTCCTCTGCAGCCTGTCCTGTGTGTACTGCACATTATATCTAGTAGATCACCCCATTCTGTACCGCCTCTTTAGTTGAATTGGCCTCACTATTTAATCGATGTCTCCATCCAGCACTTGCCTCATTTGTGTCACTGAAGATTCGGATCTGTTTGTCCCTGTGTAAGTGGAAGAAAAACAAATGTTTGTAAAACTGAAAAAAAAAAAATGGTATTTCACATCACCCCCTACGTATCTGCATACCCCCTCTTCCCATAATAATAAAACATCAGACTAATGGATCTGCAGTCTCTGTGTCCTCATTGTGCTACCTGCTGGGAAAAGTACTTCTAAGGAGATCCACCATGGGGAGGATTTACTAAGGGAAGGAGACTGGGCACTCAGCAGAGAATAGGCTGGAGATGTCATCGCTGCTGTCATCCCATCTCATACAAAGAACTTAGAATTTCTTTCCCTTATCATTTTTTTGTGGGTTTTTGTTTTTTTTTTTTTTAACCTTGCACTTGAATAGTCAACAGATCTTCACTTTATTTATAAAGTAAAAATTCACCTTGGAAGGTGTGTTCACGTTGTAATTTGTTCACCTTGATAAGTGAACATTCTATATTCCTTTAGTAAATCAACCCCAAATATCATCTGTGTACAGCCACACTGTATAATATAACCGAGAATAGATAGATGGCCTATGCTGGTTTGGGGTTTACACCGAAATCCTAATCCTATGGAATACAACAACAGAGGTGAAATATAAATATATGACAGCAGATAAAAGGGTGTTAGTGTTCTGTTTATTATAACAGTTACTATATGTGTCACTTTTATTTTTCACTCCTATCTATTCAGATTCCATAGAGATCATTGGGCGATGTATAGAACTGGAACGGAGCTCTTTCCTGTAGCTCAGTATAGCAGCACATTGCCCCGTGTTGTTATTATATAGGAGAGAAAATGGTACAAATATTTCACACATATATACATTTGCTAGATTTTGTTGTTTTTACAAAATTTAGGAATGTTTAGGAAATCATGCCCTCCTCCCAACTCTGCTGGGTTGTCCACACCTCCTGGGCCAACACAAACATGACTTAAGCAACCAATCACATTTGCTTATTCCCGGCTTCCGATTGGCTCTTGGTGAACACTTTACGATCTTTTGGTACAGGAAAAACTGTTAAAAGCATATCAAATTTTATATATAGAGAGGGAAAGAGATCTATATATTATAGTAAATATCTCCCCCTCTGTGTGTGTGTGTGTGTGTATATATGTATGTATAAAAAAATATATGTATGTATGTATAAAATCTATTTCTAAATCTCTCTCTCCTCTCTCTCCTCTCTCTCTCTGTATGTGTGTGTGTGTATATATATATATATATATATTCTCTCTCTCTCTCTCTCTCTCTCTCTCTCTCTCTCTCTCTCTCTCTCTCTCTCTCTCTCTCTCTCTCTCTCTCTCTCTCTCTCTCTCTCTCCCCTCTCCGTATGTGTATATGTGTGTGTGTGTGTGTGTGTGTATATATTTCTCTCCCCCCCCTCTCTCTCTCTCTCTCTCTCTCTCCCCTCTCTCTCCCCTCTCTCTCTGTGTGTGTGTGTGTGTGTGTGTATATATATATATATGTGTGTGTATATATATATATGTATGTATGTGTGTATATATGTGTGTGTATATATATGTGTGTGTTTGTTGTATGTATATATATATGTGTATATATATATATGCATATATGTATATATATGTATGTATGTATATGTGTGTTGTGTGTGTGTGTATGTATGTATGTGTATATATATATATATATATGTATGTGTGTTATCTGTGTGTATGTGTATGTGTGTATTATATATATATATATATATATATATATATATTTATTTTCTCTCTCTCTCTCTCTCTCTCTCTCTCTCTCTTTTCTCTCTCTCTCTCTTTTATTTATTTTTTAATTATTTTTTTTTTTTTTTTTTTATCCTTCTTTTTAGACCCTTTTTTTTTTTTTACAACATACATTTTTGTGTTCTTGTTTTGTTCCTGGCTGGTTAGGCAATAAGGTTTTCTATCCTGCGGGATACACATAAAAAAAAACAACTGTCTTGTCAGGGTCAGATTTCCCTTACTTTAACCTGTTGGCACACAAAAAAGAAAACTGTCCTCCTCTGACCCTGCTTTTTGGTCTACTATATATGTCAATGGGCTTTCTTAACACTCATGAACGCACATAAATGTCCTAAAACGCACTTAACTTCAGCCAAGCACATAGCAATTAATGGGATCAGTGGCGTTTTTTTTTCATAAGGGGGCGAAGGGTAATCGCCCCAGACTCCCTGCAAGAAGATTTATTTTTGTATTAAATTTTATCTTGGGAAATAACATTTTGCCTGCAACCATCTGAAAAGTTTTTACTCTGATATATCGTGTCCGATTTAAACGAATTTTGGTCCTGAAGGTATCTTCGGACTCCGCATCACACACAGGAATCCTCATCGTGGTTGGTTGTGTTCTGCATTTTTAAAATGTGTGACTGTCATTAAGAAAGTAAACCAGCTCCATAGTCGTTCATTAAGCAGGCCACACATGGTTAGATTTTTGTCTGAATGTTCATACCGACTTTCTGAAAAGAAGAGAGACAAGGAAGTTATGGAAGAAATACAGGTAGGCGGTTTAGCCAGCATTTTGGTTGTGATGAGGGATCCACCATCTGCCCTGAATGGGATTTCTGCTTGTAATGTTATTCTAGGCTAAAGAGGACAAGAACGATCTGACTCCATTGCTTTTTTTCATTTGCTGAGCAGGTGTGTCTGCAGTCATGAATGAGTTAACATGCACTCCATTCATGCTGCTTTCCAGTCCCAGGTCAGTGGTGATTGTGTGGTACTTACCTAGGACAACTCCCAGCCTGGGGATAACCAACCTTGGCAAAGCTCCAGCCTGGGGAAAGGTCAGTGCTGGAATTTCTACACTCAATCACTGAAATCTCATACAATCTTGACCAAAAAGTCATCCTCAGATCTACAGATTTCATGACCATACTAGCTGGTGATGCTACCTAGTTCATACAGGGTGACAGCACTCTGTCCCTGCCTCCCAAGTGTGCTCTTTCGTTGTCACCTTGCCGCAAAGGCTTCTATGTTAATATAAGATGTCCATACATGGACCGATTTGTACACAATTGTATTGTCGATCAATTTACTGTCTGGGAGAAAAATACAGTCATAGATTGAAAAGATCATTCCATACAACATACACGTAACAACCATATCGACCTACCTAATGTTCTATGGCTGGAATTTTCTGTTCAGATCGATCACAATAATTTATTTGAAATTGTTTTTGCTCAAATTCATTCTGGATCAAATTGGTCCACTCTTGGTGAAATCGGGAGACGCAGCCCTGGCCAGCCATCACTGGCATGGAGATATGAAGCGGCTGCAAAGAGGCGGCATGAGATCTGCAGCACTCAAAGTGTTTGATTTTACATCACAAATACCATGTTTAATGAACACCAAGGAGCCTGTTTACAAGAGTAACACAAGTTTCAGCCAGGATTGATATATGTTCTAGTCGGACTAAAATGAGCAGAATGTACACATCCTGGATGAAAGTTGTGTGAATCTTGTGTGAAAACATGTCTGATGTCATTCAGGGCTTGGACTGAACTCCACATTCTTGCAGTTGTCAGTGGCAGGCAGTGCAGCAGGAGCAGTCAGCAGTCAGCAGTCAGCAGGCATTTGCTGGAGTTGTGTCTGTCTGGAATAAATAAGGGTGGGAGGAGGGGAGGGGGGATTGGATTTGTGGCCCCTTTCTGAGCTCTTCTTAGATGTGCTCCGGTTCATGGGGTGATCTTGTCCTTCCAGCCACCTGGCAGCCCCTCCAGAGCCGGGCTCCGAGCAGCAGGGACAGAGTCTAATCAGCAGCCTGATAATTGGCAGCACTCCTCTCCCCTCCTCCACTCTCCTCTCCCCTCCATCCCATCCCATCCATTAGTACTGCGCCCCATTCCCGATTATCCTGGACCCTGCTAGGAACTACAAATATTTGCCTTTGACATCTCATTGTAAAATCTTTAATTTGCCGCAAATTTCCTTTCATTAGACAGTTTGAAGTGCAATGATCCCCTATAATGGCCAACCTAATGACCAGATGCAAGTTTTCGGGGTGCCTTACAATAGGGGGTATCCCCCAAACT